CATTTTATGGAAGACAGCTTCCAGAATCTCCACGAATTCAACACCGGATTCAACAAGAAACTGTTACTAAAACATAAAGCAGTTCTAACTTTAAAACCAGAGGCAGCAGTTGTTGGGCCACAACCTGTAAGTAGGCGAAGACTTCATCATTTTAAATGTATTTGCATTTATAATTCCAGACGTAGCCTTGTGTTTTATTTTTTTTTCAAATGTCAGCGCCACTTATAGCCACTATAGGCTACTAGTTATGCTATTTTGTGTCCACGACAAACGCGTACAAACATTATGGACCTGAATTTTGTATAAGTACTAATGTTTTAAACGTATTTTTCATGTAAATATGCTTTATGACGTTATTTTCGATTTGATCAAGAACGTAAACTAATGCCACGCTGTTTGAGTATAACGTTAGTAGCCAGTGAGTTGCTATTGTTGCCAATCAAATGCTATTGTGTAAAACAAATGTGTATAAAGCTAAAAAATTTTAGCAAATTATCATTCAGAAACGTTTAGTAAGAGCAGTGTGTGGTGAGGTTCTGCTTGACTCTCTTTATCGCCGCTTTCTCGGTCTGATTCTGCCTCAAACTGATACTGCAGTATCGACCATAGTATCGTCACCTTTATATACATGGTTGGACCTTTGGCATGCACGTTTCGCCCATAAAGGTAATGGGCGTTAACCTTCCGGACAACGTGAGCGACAGTTTAGCCAATCACAACATACCGGCCCAAACTAACCAATCTGAGCCCACTACGTGTTTCTGAGGGAGTGTTTTCATAGAATCAGGAAGTCAACCCCTTTAATGTATTGTATGAACAATGTAAAGCGACCTTGAGCATCTGGAAAGGCGCTATATAAATAAAACTCTTTCTATACTTTCTTCTATAGACCAACGCTACTTTTGCATCATCGAAGGGTAACGCCCCCTTTTGGGGGACAACAAGCGGATTCCCCTGAGAACAGAACTTGGCTTAGATCTGCAAAGTTTCTTGGTAGCAAAAATGGCACAAACTTAAAGGGTTAGTTCACCCAAAAATGAAAATTAAGTCATTAATTTCTCACCCCCATGCTGTTCCAACCCCGTAAGACCTTCGTTCATCTTCGGAACACAAATAAAGATATTTTTGATTTAATCTGAGAGCTGTATCACTCTTCCATTGGCTTCCTAAGGGACTGGCTCTTGACGGCCCATAAAGTCATTAAAGAAAAGGTTTAAATATTCCATGTGCCTACAGCGGCTCAATTATAAGTTTATCAAGCGACGAGACTACTTTTTGTGCGAAAAAAAACATAAATAACGGCTTTATTTGACTATTCCATTACTTCCTTATTGGCGCATGCGCGAGAACTGAGACGAGGACGATCTCCTTCGACTTGTTACCGGCTGCTCACCGCTTAGGAGTTTTACCGCCCCCTACCGTATAAGATGATGTGCTGATATAGCTGGAAGCGCAAAACTTTCTGTTTACAAGCAGAGGAAGATGCGCGCTGTACATGCGCTTTTCAATTAGCGTATTTTCTGCACTACAAGGTGCACTTAAAAGCCTTTAATCTTCTCAAAAAACGACAGTGTGCCTTATTATCATCTTATACGGTAGGGGGCGGTAAAACTCCTAAGTGGTGAGCAGCCGGTAACAAGAAGTGGTCGAATGAGAACGTCCTCGTCTCAGTTCTCACGCATGCGCCAATAAGGAAGTAATGGAATAGTCGAATAAAGCCGTTATTTATGTTTTTTTCGCACAAAAAGTAGTTTCATCGCTTGATAAACTTATAATTGAGCCGCTGTAGGCACATGGAATATTTAAACCTTTTCTTTAATGACTTTATGGGCCGTCAAGAGCCAGTCCCTTAGGAAGCCAATGGAAGAGTGATACAGCTCTCAGATTAAATCAAAAATATCTGTATTTGTGTTCCGAAGATGAACGAAGGTCTTACGGGGTTGGAACAGCATGGGGGTGAGAAATTAATGACTTCATTTTCATTTTTGGGTGAACTAACCCTTTAAAGAAGCTACTGGATACGGCGGTTACAGAGGTGTCCCTTTGAAATGATCAAAAATTGGATTAATGGTACAATATGGACTATTTAGACATCTACCACTATCTTGTGGAATCACCAAGTAGCTTCTTTTTTTTTCATTAACACACTCACAGTATGACAAACTAGACGATGAGGCCATGTCACTTGAATCACATTTAAAGGGGTGATGAACTGAGAAATCAAATTTTCCTTGAGCTTTTGACATCTAAGAGGTCATAATACAATAAGAATGTCCTGCGCATTACACACATAGCTAAATAACATAGGCCTACCTTCTGATGACCAACCAGTGCGATCTACTGAGCAATGCAAAATATTGTGCAGTGCCTGGTTGTGGAAGAAGACAGTGGCTGCATAAGCTTCCTCTGGATTCCAATAGGACTGCATGGATAAACTTTTATTTTTAATGATGTTACAGCTGATGAGGGTAAAACATCCTCTAGCCTAGACTCTCTAGACCCTAGATCTTCGCCATCTCTCCTCCACCTTGGCTCATCGATTGCACGGTTGGCTCCACCCTCGCTGTCATTTTCTCCAGTCAACCCCCTGGTGGCCCTCACCAGGATTCCTCCATGGCTCCTCCCTCCATCAACGCCGCTGTGTCGCACTCGGCTGGATGAAGAACCATCATCCCCTAATCAGGGTCATCCCTTGGCTCACTCCACCATCATCACCAAGCTGGACTTTGTTGTTGGACTTTGACTTCCTCCCGGTCGTCAATCTAGCTCCAGAGCCTCATCTTTCCTGTCTGTGCCATCCCTTCACAATCCTCTTCACATGCGCAAGGTCGTGTCTACCCAGAGGTGGCGTTCTGTCACAATCATGTTAGTTTGGACTTGTTATGTTTCGTCATCGTCTGCCGATTAGTTGTCACGAACACTAATTGTGTTCAGCTGTGCACTTATCAATCAATTACCCTCATTATAACCTGTATGTTCAGTTCTGTTTCAGGTCAGTTTCCAGTGTCGTCAGTTTTGGATGTTTTGTGTTTGGTCTGTTTTGTGGAATACCATGTTGGTAAATGTTAACTGATTAGTTACTACAGCCACCACTGTAACAATAATAGCCTACATAAATTTTCAATCGTTTTATTATATAACACTGTTATATAATGTACGGTATACATCAGGGGTGATTGGAAAACAAGCTGGAAACAAACTGGAGCTGACGAACGCCATTTTTAACACCAGAAAAGCAAATGGTAAATGTAATTAGGATGCATTAAGTTACTTAGTAACTAAGTAACTAAATTACATTTTACAAGCACCAGATTTAAATGAATATATAAATGAATATATTTCAATATTGCTTTATTGTTCTTGTGGCTATCTTTAATGAAATGGGCTATATGCATGGATTTGACCATGCATTTGACGCAAGGATGCTCTTCAGTTTCCGGTTGGGGCGATTTAAAGCGGAGGAAAACCAAGGAAAACGGGATTATGGCAGAGTCTTCAAATTATACTGTCCTCCCATCTTCGAAAGGAAACTTTGATACGTGTAGATGTAATTTTATATATAGTTATGTTTATTTAATATAATAAAAAAGAAGCATAAACAAAATGAGGGGTGTCTGTTTTTGTGACTAACGTTTCTTTAGTATAACCATATAGACTATAAAAGCCAATATAAAGTCTCGGTCTTTGGACTCTACAATCGGCGGAAGTTACCGAGCATCATTAGACCTTCACCGGAAATACCGCCGTGCATAGAGCCCATTACCCCTTTGTAAAGGTGGCAGTTGATATTACTGAACATCCTGTGACACCATCAGGAAATAAATATGTCCTCGTTCTCTAAAACTATTTAAGTAGCCTATGTACAATTGTGTACCCTATGAAAGATCAGAGAGCTGTAATGGAACAGCATGTCACAGAGCATGGTGTTCCTGGATGTCATCAAACACATCAAGGCTGCCAGTTTTAGGCAGATCCAATCAAAGAGTTGTGCTCCAGGTTGGGTGCCACCAGAATTAGGACTCGTTATCATCCTGAGGTAAATGGTTTATTCGAAAGATTCAATTGCGAAATTAACTTTTATATTGTGTTTGAAACTGATTGAAAATTGTGATGTGTGTTGTGGGGGTGTGTACACAACAACCCTATAATGGTAAAAATCCACCCCCTCCTTTTTTGTATTCCCAATGACTCATAAACTGTCTCAAAATGAGTAATTTTGCAATTTATACACACTGTGACGTGACAGTCACCTGTTAGCTTAGATCAGCAAAAATACTAAATAGCGCCTTGTACAATGTGGGAGACTTGGTTTAGATGAATGATCCTGCTCATTCCCGATGTAAACTGGCCCCATGCTGGAAATAACCCAACATTGTAACACAAACTGTTCAGCCAAATGATGGTCCAAAAAGGGCAGAGTCTAGCTAAAAATGTACTGTATGTCTGTCATGAAGTCAATATCTTAATACCAATATCGCTGCGTTTGCAGAGTGCTGTACAGTATAGCTGTACAGTATTTTCACAATTTAATATTTTTGAATGCATTCAGTCTAATCAGAACATAGAAAAAGATGTCGTAGTTGTCGCAGTAGTCTGCTATTTAGTCTCTTCTGTTTAGTTGCAAGATTATTTTCTCATGTCTACTCATGCTAGCAAGTCACTCTAATCCAGTGGTTTTCAATCCTGTTGGATCCTTTTGAACCCACTTGGTGACTTGAGCCAGGAGATGACTGGTGAGTAAGAAGATCAGTACAGCATGATTAATGCCAGTTTCTCATTCCAGTAATTGGCATGGAGCAACAGGATAAAAGCCACTGAGGAACTGGGGAAGGTGAGAGATAACTTGGTGAACTCCTGTCTGTGTGTGTCTCTGGAGAACAAAGCCAAAGGAACTGTTAAATTGTAGGGTCAATGTTGGTTTTGTTGAGAGAACTGTTGAAAAAAAGTACACATCTGCCTTCTCCTTGCCCTGAAGAACTGGCAGGACAATTATGAGGAGTTTTACTGCAGCATTTTTTAATTCTAAACTTCTGTATATGGCACGTGTGACAGCATTGAAAAAAATAACCTGTGTGAGCAACCTGATATCCTTAAGGTAAGTCATTTGATTTGTATAAATTCACTGTTGAACACATTTCATCTTAGAGTCAAACCCAATAAAAATACCATCATACAACTTTAACTCATATAAATTTAACTCATTTTTTAAATTTAACTCATGGCCAGGGAAAGGCCATGGCTACCATTTAACATCTAATTTTTGCGCATATAATTGTTTCTAAATGGACACTCTAACACAATGATCACAGTCTGATGTCTAAAACACCTATGATCAGAGTATATGCCACCATCTGAATGGCATCCACATTTTTTTTGTGATCAGATTACTCCCAAAACACATTTTGAGGTGGCATGTGACCGGTAACACTTTACAATATAGGTGCACTAATATGCATTAATTCATGCTTAACTAATGCACAGATAATCATGAGTTAATGTATAACTAATGAAGAACTAAACCATTAATTAATGATTACTGCATCGGCAACTTATAAAGAGTCTATATGATTAATAGATTAAGTAATACATGAATTGCTATTAATTCAATGTGTCATTGTGTATTAATACCTTAATAACATATTTTATTAACTAATAGTGTAAATTAATGTGTTAATTACCACAATTAGTCAAAGCTATGCACTTCAGCTTCCAGTTGTCTGCTTTAATTAATCATTAGCTAATGATTTGCAAATGTATCATTATGTTATGACTTTACTTGCTTGGGCACATCATTATTAACTAGTTAATTTGCACTAACAATGCAGTAATTAATCATGTATTAACGCATATTAGTGTACCGGTCATATTGTCTGGAAGTTGAAATACAAGGCGTTGGCTCATTCTGGTAATTAACATATTAATTAACACTATTAGTTAAAAAATTAGTTATTATGGAATTAATCCACAATTACATATTTAATTAAAAACAATTCATGAATGAACTAATACATTAACCTTGACTCTTAATTAGTTCCTAAGTTGGTAATCCTTAATGAATAGCTTGGATAATCATTAGTTAAACATTAATTCAGTATTATCTGTGCATTAGTTTATTAGTGCACCTGAGATGTGAGAAGCATGTTCTTATCATTTTTCATATTGATACTAAAAGTGATACTGCTTAACCCAGTTGGAAACTAAATAAGGTTCGATTTATTAGATATTGTCAGCCTGACACCTAAACGTGAGATAAAGAATTCAAATCCGTTTGGAATACTATTCTCCGGCTATCACCCATATTCCATATAAACACAAGCTAAATCAAGCTAAACCTGAAGTAACTTTCAGATATTTACAGATGTTTCTTTGGCAGAAGTGAAAAAAAGGTAAGTTTATAGTAACCATGACTGTTTCAATCTGTCCTGTAATCTCTGTATAGGACTGTGAGCACTCAGAAGACGACATGTCCACTATTCTTTGTCCATCCCAGTCGAGGACTGGTGGACGAGAAGTTTCGGATCGTTGTAACAAATTTACTGCCAAGTCAAAAGGTGACACTACACTCTCTACTTCAAACAGAGGATAAGAATTTCTGGGAGGCGTTTGGACACTACGTCAGTGATGAACACGGAACAGTTACAGGTGCGTGGTAGTCTAAATGCATAATTTAGAAAAGTTACAATGGTAACCACAGGTTCACTTAAATATGTTTACATCAGTTATTGTTACTGATAGAATGAAAAGGTGCAGATGACACACAGCTCAAATCTCTATTACTTTGAGTTACTGAAACATCTCATGAAACATGTACCGAGCAGAGCATCTCTCACACTGGCTCTTTCTCAATTCCAAGTACGCAAATACCAAACGCGTTCTCGTGACGACCAGTCCTACCTTGAAATAACAAACTCAGAAGGATGCTGGGACACAAAATGCTTGTTGCTCAACTGACCTTCCAAGCATATAATAAGTAGCGACTAATTAATACATCATACAACAATAACAATAATACAACATAACATAAACAAATGTCACAACCTTATACAACTTCTTTCATATTATTATAGAGATTATTTTAAGATAATTTTATATCTTTTTATATTACTGCTTGTGTGTAAGCAAGGACAACATGACATCATGACTTTTGTGTAAACACACACGCCACTTTCGAGTCAGGTGGCGTGTTATCTCTACGCATTTTGAGCTATCCGCGTGTATCCACGTGTATGTCTACGCCATTAACGTCCGCGTCATTCCGCGTGTCTGTAAATCTCCAGTCATAAATGCCATTAACCCCAGTGAAGGTTAAAGGTTGTCTAAGCGATCCCGGGTGTTGACGTTCTGAATATTTTCAAACAAATCGGAGGCTAGCTAGACCCTCCTTCCTCCGCATCTCATCTCCTCCCTTTCCCTTCCGTGCTTCCTGAAATAATTGTGAACGTGCATTTCGCTGACTGCATAGTTCTAGCTAATTATATCCTTGTGTGGGTTTGGCGAACATAAGCTCAATTTAGAATAAAAAAAACAATTTAACGTTACCCACCTGTCCAGCAAAAACAGAGCAACCTGAATGTCGGACTGGAAGCCCTTCTGCCGCCGGAGTTCTCGCCATCGTTCAAAAGCTTTGCTACCGATGTAAATTCGGAACTTCGCACGTTCTTTATCCGACTCCTTCTTTTTAATTTGTTCTTCAGAACGACGTCTCTTTGGTCGTGTGTCGGCCATTTTTCAAACTTCCCTCTGATGCTTCGCTCTCCTTCACACACACACACCCTTCATGTGCACGCGCACTAACCCCCCAGACCCACCCTCAAATACTTCTTGCCAGTGACTGGCTGGAACACTGTTTGTTAGGTTTCGTGGTCCGGGTAAGACATGATTGTTTTTGTTGCCGTTTGTGGAGCCTGTGGTGTCTACAGAGACCACGTTTTTTTACAGTGTGTTTAGGGGACAGGCAGCTAGCCGATAGTGAGGAGACGTTTGATGCATGTGACAAAAAATGTTTTGGCCCAACATCGCTTAGAGAACCTTTAAGTTTAGGGATGGGGTTGAGGTAAGTCATATCTTTTTTTTACCAAGGATGGTAAGGGAACAGTCATAAATGCCATTAACCCCAGTGACGGTTAGGTTTAGGGACGGGGTTGAGGTAAGTCATATATTTATATAACGTTAAGTCAACGGCGTTCATAAACACGCTGAAAGGCGATTATGCGTCTTGATAGCACGCCAAAATGGAAATACGAATTGGCGTGGCATACACACGCTACTTCATGAGATCAGTCTGGCAAAGAAAAGGCTGGATCTAAGTGCAGCACACGCTTTATTCAACAGACTGCAAACTTAAACAGACCAGACTGGATACGAGACTCGGGACTCAGGAACAACCAACACCAACCATTCAACATTAAACAAGAACTCACAAAGACAAAGCTGAAACACAGGGCTTAAAGGGGACATCATGCAAAATCCACTTTTTTAGCCCTTAAATGCATTTTGTTGTATATTTGGAGTGTTTATAAGTACAGAAAAGATCAAATTATTCTCTTCAGGCGCTTCGTTTATACCTTTATATTCTGTTTTGGTCATATTTTTCAACCTGTTCAGATTTTTCTGTTTTCTATTACGTTTTTTGAACTACAACGTCACCGTTTTTGCAGCGGAACTGCCAAATAAGGACATTGACTACCGGCCCAACACTTTGAGCAATCCGCCATTATTATTTCTCGCTCCGATTTTGTAGTCAGAGCTCTATGATGCAGAAGTTACGAGAGGGCAAGTCAGAATGTTCGGTTTTTGGATGTAGTGACCTGAAGCACTTCAAGGTTTCCCACTTCAACAACCTCCGCCAGTAACGTTATACAGAAGGGTTTGCCGATTGACTTCGTCTGAATGTGAGGTAAATTCCTTCCATGTTTGGAGACGACGAACAGAGCATTTCGATAAGCTGTAAATATCGTTAAAAAAATAAAGTACTTTACTTTCTTAAAACACATGGTGGTCATTGTCACATGTCTGTCTTGTCTGTGATGCACATGGGTGTTTTGTTATGTTGAGTCATGTGCTCTTGTCATTGTTTGATCCCTCCCACTTGTTATCTGATTATTGGTTATTTGCTCCACCTGTCTGTCTCGTTACCCTCCTTTGTTTGCCTGCCTATTTAGTCTTCCTGTGTTTGCTTTCCTGTGCTTGTTCGTTGTTATTGTTACGTGTGTTAGTCGCGTAGAAGAGATTCATCGTCACTGGATCCGTCCAGTGTTGGTACTCCGTTGATGGTTTTAGCCAGCCTCGAGTCTGTGCATATCCGTCAGAAGAAGCGGAGGAGGAGGAGACCTGCGCCTGTCCATTCTGAGACTGCTCAAGTCCCGTCTGCCCAGCGAGAGACTGCTCACATCCCGTCTGCCCAGCGAGAGACTGCTCACATCCCGTCTGTCCAGTCTAAGACAGAGCCAGAGATCCCCTTTGGTGTGGCCGCCAAAGTTGTGACGGACTATCTGGAGCATCTGACTCGGATCTTGGAGAGGCCGGTTACTGCTATGCCTATTCCAGAGGCAGAGCCAGTGCCGGTTCCTGAGCCGGAGACAGAGCCAGTGCCTGTTCCTGAGCCGGAGGCAGAGCCAGTGCCGGTTCCTGAGCCGGAGGCAGAGCCAGTGCCGGTTCCTGAGCCGGAGACAGAGCCAGTGCCTGTTCCTGAGCCGGAGGCAGAGCCAGTGCCGGTTCCTGAGCCGGAGGCAGAGCCAGTGCCTGTTCCTGAGCCGGAGGCAGAGCCAGTGCCCTGTTCCTGAGCCAGAGGCAGAGCCAGTGCCTGTTCTTGAGCCGGAGTCAGAGCCAGTGCCTGTTCCTGAGCTGGAGCTCATGTCGGTTCCGGACCCAGTGTTTGTGTCTGTCTTTGTGACTGTTTCCGTTCTAGTGTCTGTTCCTGAGGCGGTGTCTGTTCCCGAGCCAGTGTCTGTTCTTGAGCCGTTATCTGTTCCTGAGAGGGCTTCACCGCCCTGGCCACCCGAGGGGTCTTCACCGCCCTGGCCACCCGAAAGGTCTGCTCCGCCCTGGCAACCCGAGGGGTCTTCACCGCCCTGGCCGCCCGAGAGGTCTTCACCGCCCTGGCCACCCGAAAGATCTTCTCCGCCCTGGCCGCCCGAGGGGTCTTCACCACCCTGGCCGCCCGAGGGGTCTTCACCGCCCTGGCCGCTTGAAAGATCTTCTCCGCCCTGGCCGCCCGAGGGGTCTTCACCGCCCTGGCCGCTTGAAAGATCTGCTCCGCCCTGGCCGCCCGAGGGGTCTTCACCTCCCTGGCCGCCCGAGGGGTCTTCACCGCCCTGGCCGCCCGAGGGGTCTTCACCGCCCTGGCCGCCTGAAAGATCTTCTCCGCCCTGGCCGCCCGAGGGGTCTTCACCGCCCTGGCCGCTTGAAAGATCTTCTCCGCCCTGGCCGCCCGAGGGGTCTTCACCGCCCTGGCCGCCCGAGGGGTCTTCACCGCCCTGGCTGCCCGAGGGGTCTTCACCGCCCTGGCCGCCCTATGGACTCTGTGTTTCTCCCTCACCGCCCTATGGACTCTCTGTTTCGCCCTGGCCGCCCGATGTCCCTGTCCCTCCCGTCCCACCCTGGTCTGTCCCTCCCGTCCCTCCCTGGTCTATCCCTTTAGTCCCTCCGATCAGTCCCTTCCGTTCCGCCCTGATGTTTCCTTCCTGCCCCGCCCTAGCCTGATGGAGCGGTTATTTGCTGCACCTGTCTGTCCGGTTACCCTCCTTTGTTTGCCTACCTATTTAGTCTTCCTGCGTTTGCTGTCCTGTGCTCGTTCGTTGTTATTGTTACGTGTGTTAGTCACGTGGAGTTCTGTGCCTGTCCTGTCAATTCTGTCAAAACTTTTTCGCCGACGAAAGCAGAGCCGTGGAGAGCCGCTTCGCCATGCTTTCAGTGGAAACGTGGCTATTGTTTTGATGCCGTCATGAGCTGAAATGACGGGAGGGGCTGTGTCGCCCAGATTTGCTTCCCCGTCTCTCTGGATTTTCCCCAGACATGCGTTCTTCTCCCACACAAAAACCGAATTTTATTCCAATTATGTAAAAATCTGCGAAATTCCGCGTTAACACTAGATTCCGCGTTAATTGTCCAATTATAAGTATACACTTAATGAGGTCCTCTGAGAATGATGAGCTGCTGGTTCTTTTCATTGTTAAATGGATCTTTTCCATAGTTCCATTTCCTGCTTCCGGTTTCATTATGTCACTCACCATTTTATCTATGCATGTATGTATGTGTGTTTAGTTATGTTTGTGATTTAGTTAATAAAACTTGTGCACAATACTAATTTGGTTCTGATTCTCTGCTCGCAACAAGGTTTATTTTATGATCTTGATCTTGTTGCGTGCTCTAAGAGCTGCACATGCTAAGAAATACTTATTTTTCTGTGGCCATGAAAGATACCCTTTTTTTTAGAATAAATGAATAATAAAAAGAGTTTGTTGGACAAACTGATTAATTGATTGTAATATTCATTTAGCTACACCAAGTTAATCCAAATAACTGACTCAAATATTCATAATTAATCCTAAAAAGATATGATTGATTAATAATGTTTCTCCTTTGAGCTAACTTGTTATACACATTTCTACAGATTTAGAATTCACAGCATTTCTCTTGAGCGAACAATGATCGAGACATTAAGTACATGATGTGGATATTCCCTATTCTATATACCTTAGGGACCACAGATGAAAGTTTGGGAGGCACTTATGAAGGAAGAGAGCCAATGGGGTTGCTGTGGAGCATGAGACCCGCACCAGGAAGTCCAAAAGGACTCAGGTTGATTAGACTAGAACAATATGATAGTGTGTGCTTTGTATTACCAAGTTTAAATTCAGGTTTCTTTTTTATTTGAGGAAATTGACACTCTCTTTTGTGACCTACATACTCTTTACTCCAGAATACGCAAGAGGGATGTTCTTACACCAATGGTAGTTCAAATTTCAGTATACAGTGGGCATCTATCTGAAGGCTTCAGCGAGGAACCACCCCTGGCAACAAGTGTCATAGAGCGCTGGCATGTAGCACCAGGTGTGAAAAGGATAAACATCAGGGAGGAAGAAGTACGAGGAACACTTTTCCTACCTCCAGGTACACAGACACTCACACTCACTCACTCACACACACACACACACACACACTAAATAACAGATTTCTAATCAGGGGTCAATATCTATTAGATCTTTCATGATCATTGCTTGTGTGTAAAAATGACTTGCTGTGTGTTTTTTAGGCCCTGGGCCGTTCCCAGGAGTGCTGGATCTGTGGGGAGCAGGTGGTGGTTTGGTCGAATATCGCTCTGCCCTGCTTGCATCTCATGGCTTTGCATCTATGGCACTTGATTACTTCGCTCCAAAAGGGCTGAGAATGCAAGATGTTGATATTGCTTACTTTGAGGTAATTTCGAACTTTTGACAGTCTCCTATCGTGGACCAGCCTTCGCATTACTTTTGATGTGATTTGGCATTATTGGTGGGCTGTGTTTCCCGAGGAGACACTCAAAATAAATTATTGGCCATCAAAGCAAATGTGATAATATTAGGTACTCACTGATTTGCCACAACATTGTACACAAAAGGTTAAGTCAAAAAACATTTTTTATATCATTACAAAGGTGTCTATCAATGGGATTGTATTTATTAGGCAGCAAGTGAATGGTCAGCCCTGCTGAAAAAAAAGACTTCTTTAGATGGTCAGGTTGGGTGACCAGATTACCAGCTTTATTCAACAGGGAGTTTGAATTTCATGTGTTGGAAGCATAGACTGTAAAAAATATGGACGTAGTGTCCGTGACGTCACCCATAGGTTTCTGAAGAGCGATTTTGAGGCCTAAAGTGGGCGGGGCCGACCGTCGCCATCTTGGCAGTGCGTCACCTCTCGTCACTACCGGATAAATTAAAATGGGCAAAGAGGCGGGACGCGGGTGGAGCTGAGGTGCTAATGCTATGCTACTGCCGCTGAATTGACAGCTGATTGAAAAAGTAAAGCCAATTGTTAAAGTTCATGTTTTGCCCTTCGAAATATTATAATAGTTAAGACGTAACTAAAAGTGAGACTACTTGACTTTTTTATCAACTTTATTAATCTCACAAGGGGCAATTAGTTAAGAGCATATATACAAGTACATTAACACAGATCACACATTTCTCACAACATACAAGCAGTCAACTATGTGCATTGTGATGCATTATTATTCTGCTAGTTAAAATGTATAATATTGCTCTAAGCTTGTGCATGCGACAGTGATTCAAGGCAAGCACACGTCAGTCGGCATCTCACGTCAAGTTCGTAAAGAGCTTTAATTCAGTCCATTTTACAATCCGATTTTGGCCGCCTCTCAGATGGGTCAAACCAAATATTACCTCAGAACTTCAAGTAAATGAACTAGAAATCCGCGCTCATTCAAGGGTGTGCATCTATTGCATGGACGGAGAGAAAGCACTGAAATTATCAGACATCCATTAGTGCATGCGAGGGAAACAGCTGGAAACACAGCGCTGGTCGATCTCTCCATACTCAACACGACGGAATCCAACGGCGTGCACGGGCGAAGGTATAATACATGTATTAAATTGTATGACATAATCCTGGAAAAAGCACAAACACAGCTGAGGGTGACGCTAACAGACAGCAGACAAACTACTAGCAGTGAAAGCGGCCGCAAGAATCCACCTGTCACTCAAGTGGCCACGCCCTTAATTATGCAGAAATTTAAGGCTAAAATATAATTTAAACAGATGAGTTGTAAAAAAATTCACCCCCCTCACAGTTGTCATGAAGGGAAAAATGAGCTCAATAGACCAAAGCCACTTTTTGCTCCAGGCTGTAAACATGTTTTTTTTCTGCTGTAAAGTTGGGCATTTTAACATGGGGGAGATACAGATTTGACTCGCTTCTGCAGCCTGCCTCAAGCGGCCACTCGATAAATTGCAGTTTAATTCACTTCCGTATTGGCTTCAAGAGAGAGACGGGGAGGTTGCCGCTTGATTCTGCCCTACAACACTAATCCATTTTCAGAAATGTTGTGCTGCTGTGACCCACAGCCAGACATGTGACATATTCGAAAACCCAAATCCAGTGGTAGGATGTATGTCAGTGAAACTTTCCTTACATGACCGCTCAGATTCTGCTATCTTCTACATTAGCCGCATTTCTACTGCATTTACCAGGAACTAGTATTTGTCCCAGGAATTTTTTCATAGGAACTTTTTTTGCCCCACACCGCTTGCTTACTGCAATTACACTATGGACTAAAGTACCGGTCCGGGGTGGGAAGATTATGTAGTGACGTTGAACTGCGTGCGACTGCTCCTCCCAGTCTGCGCATTTGTTTTGAGTTTTGTATGGAGGAGATTCAAGCTTTGCTGCTTTTGTGTGCGATTGGTTTACTAAAGGGGTAATTAATAAAACGGCAGAAAAGAGACGAGCACCCAAAACGTATCAGAAAGCTTGTAATGCTAGATAAAAAAGTAGACGTTTGTTATCAGCGGACATTGACCGTAAGATGGATGGGACGAATGCGCGCCATCGGGCAGAAAGAACAAGTGGTAAGAACCAATCAGCATGTCCAGCGCACAAGTCCCACCCCGAAAGTTTCCGAACTCATTTAGACCCTGGTTCCTGCGGTGTAAACACACCGAGTACCACCCCAAAGTTCCTAGTTCCTGGAAACGCGGCTATTGTGGACAAAGGGACACCACTCATGAGGATCGAAAACAATCAAGTCCTGCCTCCTAATGCTTTATCTGTGCGTGGACCATGGTTGACCTTCTTCACCAAAGTAACTGGAAGTTAAGTTTCTGCCATATAATATAAGCAGCGTCTGGAACTGTCTGTTAAGTACATTTTTCAATTGGAAAACCGTTAAGTCTTCCGAGGCTCACGGCCGATTGCACCGGCTGCTCGTTGATCTGTGCTGGTCTCCATAGTATCTCCATAAGGGACAATAGGCGAGGTGAGAACCAAACAATGCCTTCATGATCTCTATTGGTGGCCAGAGATGGATGCTCAGGTTAATGTTGTAGTTCGTTCCTGCCACATGTGTCAGCTCAATGACAAAACTGGCAAGTCACACCCTGTTCTTCTCCCGCAAGTGCTGCTGGCTGTAGATATATTTGGGCCATTTGACAGTGCTACATCTGACTACAGGTTTGCAATAACTTTAACTGATTACTACAGCAAATGGCTTGAGATGTATTTTACTCACACTGTCATAATGGATTCTGTGGTTTCATTTCTGTCATCAGTCTTTAGTCGCCATAAAAAAAGCATTGAGTATTTTTTACTGATAACAGTGTTCAGTTTATATCTGCTGCTTTTGTTGCTTTTCTGGAAGGAAGAAATATCTGTCATTATTTTCCTGTCTTTACTTCCCGGCAGCTAATGGTGCTGTAGAGATGTTCAATTGTGTGCTCAAACACAAATAGCCATCCAGCTACATGGAAACCTGCAGTAACTGACTTGTAGGTGTCACACATGCTGCAAGTGGTACTTTACTCTTTCAGCTCCTCTATGGCAGGCAAATGTGCACAAATCTGTCTATTTTGCTGTCTGCTGACACCAAATGACATGACTGTTTGCCAAAGGATTACATGGCTGCAACACAGAATGAAAAAATACATTGATGCTAAGCAGAGTGCTTACACTCCTAGTTTCCAGGAGGGGGATAAAGTGACGATTCAGAACCCCTTGCATGTTCCTAGGGACACAAAGTTTACTGATCCTCTCACGGTTGCCAAAAAAATGGGGGTGGGTACATATTTTCTTAGTGATGAAAGACATTTCCAGGCATACCAACAACTCTGGCTGAGAACACTGCTCACTAGTCACTACACACACACTAATACCACGAGACCCAAACGTTATGTTCAGAAGCCTAGGTGGTTAAATTACTGTGTTACTAAAATCTGATGTTCTTAAAAAAGGGTGAATTATATTATGGTCCCATTCACTTATCTCCTCTCCAACTGTTTCCTATCTCTCACTAAACTATCCTATCAAAGGCAGATAGTTAACATTTATTCATATATAAACATTTTATCTAAGTGGTCTAACAAATCTCCAACCTTCACCCAAAAAGCAGAATCCACTGTATTTGAGTATATACAAACCTAAATTGGGTTGTGTGGTTAACAGTTGATTAATCTTTACAGATGTGTGCTTGTTTGTACATGTTTCTTGTAGAAAGCATACCAGATCCTGAAGAATCATCCATTGGTACAGACGGATCAACTAGCTGTCCTTGGGCTGTCTTTTGGAAGTATAGTCACACTCAGTATTGTGGCCTACTCCAATGTCATCAAGGTTTGCTTGGCCTACACTAGTGGTCTCCAACCTTGTTCCTGAAGAAAAACTGTCCTGCAGATATCAGTTCAACAACCCTGCTGCGACAGATCTGTCTGTGATTTTCAAGTAACCCTGATCCCCTTGATTGGCTGGTTTAGGTGTGTTTGGGGATAAATCTGAACACTGTAGGACAGTAGCTCTGCAGGTGAATGGTTGGAGACCCACACACATGAATCTACATTTTGAATGCAGATATATTTTTCTTGTATTACATTGGTATGTTAATCAGTGTCTATTTATTTTCTTTTAGCCCCAGTGTTGTGTGGCTATTAATGGAAGTCACCTGATTCCTTTCGACCAAAACCTCTTTGAACTCATTCAGAATATGAAGAAGTGAGACACAGAAAACAGAAAATATGTTGTGGCGTTATAAAGTGTTTTTCAATTTTTGTCATTCAGTGTGGTCCCAATATTTGAGCACATAATTCACACTTAAACGTGTTAGAACTTAACAAATACTGCATCTCTGTCATCTGCTTTCATAACTGCATTCATAACTGCCATTTTATTTTATGCCTCCTGACTGTCAGTGAGGCTTTTGGATGACCAGCATTGGAAAGAGTGAAAGATACACGTCCATCAGGAAAGAAAGCTATACTTGGGAGAACTTCAGTAACAAAAACTGTATATGACGCATAAGAAATTCTGTAGAAAGTAGTTTAAGTGGATGGGGATGACCAGGTAGCGTCTGCACATTTATCATTAAGTGGGACCCACACTTAATGACATATGTAACTATCCACTGCCTTATAGAATTGTACATTTATTTTACTTATGATAAGCACTAAAAATTGTATTCCAGGAATTTAGATAAACTACGTGTGATAGAGGAAAACAAGGTAATTCACAGAGATGTTATCCTAACCACTCTCCCAGACCCACCACCCAAAGTAGATGTGAGTATTGATATGATATGTTGATATTATGGATATACTGATATATAGTCTGTTTTACTTATTTTTATTTTCTTGTGGTGTCAATTGTCTGTTTTTATTTAAATGCACACAGGTTGGGAGAATAAAGTGTCCACTTCTGTTGGTGACTGCTGGCGATGATCATGCTTTTCCTGCAGTTGAATCTGCTGAAGATGTGAGTTACATTTCTTATGTATTATTATATTCAAATGGCCTAAATTTGGATAACATTATTCACTACTTTTAACACATCTTAAGTGAGATGTGTTAACTACCGTAATCGGTATGTAATAGAATTTTATGAATGATTGTGTTAAGTAACCAGACACTATCTGGCCTGAATAATATATATGAGTCAGTAACAACTAACAGAATATTCTAACGAAACCCTGTTGGGATTATTAGTACAATTTTATAACCGGTCGAAGTGGGTATTATATATATACATGTGTGTGTGAATGTGATTATGCACAGTAATTTTTGTACACATGACCAGACCACATCGGGTCTTAATCATACCGAAAGTACCTTCGCCTGCAGGAAAGGCACCCCCATACAGAACATCATAAATGTGGAAGGCGAGGACCAGTTGGCCGCATCACATGTATTTTGAATGGGAAACCCAGATGACCAAGCCCATGCCTCTGGTTGAATGGGCCTTGACACCTATAAAGCAAACCTTACCCTCTGAGGTATAGGGCATAAAAATGGCATCCACTATCCATCTAGATAGTCTTTGCTTAGTGACTGGATCACCCACCAAAGCAGACAAACAGCTGTTCTGACTGTCTAAAAGACGCAGAACTCTCCAGATACATTCTCAGATTCTGACAGGGCACAGAAGATTAATCTCCCCATCCACGGCAGAAGAGGGAAGGACTAATAGCGTAATAACTTGTGCTCTAAAAGGCGTTGAGAGCACCTTGAGAGCAACCATGCTTGATAAATGCCAATGCCAACAGGACAGCAGTCTTTAGCGAGAGTGGTTTCAGATCAACTGACTGGAGCGGCTCAAAAGGCGGTTCTCTCAGGGCCGTAAGGACCGTGGAGGGGTCCCAAAGCGGCACTGAAGGGGCCTGGAGAGGTTAATCCTCTTAGCGTCTTTCAGAAACCTTGCCACCAAGTCATTTATTCCCAGTGATTGGCCAGCCACCAAAGCATGATGAGCTGCGATGGCTGCCACGTAAACTGTGAGCGTGGATGGGGTGCGGCCCACATTCAGTAGCTCCTGCAGTTAGGAGAGTACCACAGATCCCTCACATGACTCTGGGTCAACTACATTTTTCGAAAACCAGCAGGAAAAACCTGACCACTTCAAAGCACAAAAGCACTGAGTAGACGGGCCCTTGCTTCAGGGATAGTGCTTAAGACCCTGTCAGGAAGGTCCCCGCATACCCATTTAGGGACCACATATGGAGGGCCCATAAACTGGGTCGGGATGCCATATCGTTCCATTGGCCTGTGTGAGAAGATCCCTCCTCATTGGAACAGGCCAGGGGATTGTGACTGTCAACTGAACCAGCTACGGAAACCATGGTCTGGATTTCCAGAGAGGAGCCACAAGAAGGACTGGGCATCCGTTCTCCCTGACCCGTTCAATGACCTGTGGGATCATCGAGACGGGATGGAAAAGCAGAAAGGGGACGTCTGGGTCAGGGATGAGCCGGCGTGTGCCTGTTCTTTGAGAAGAAGACTCTGCAGTGGATGTTGGCTCTCGAGACGAAAAGGTCGACTTTCGGCCTCGCCGAACATCTCCCATATTAGTCTGACCGTCTAAGGGTTCAGGGACCACAAATTTTGGACGCCTGGGATATGCGCTGCTCTTAGAGAGCTCAGACTGGCCTGTGCCCACAGGAGGAGGACCCTCGCCATAGCATCCATGTTGTCTGACCTGATGCCACCCTGGCGATTTATGTAAGCCACCACTGACATGTTGCCCATACAGACTAGGACGTGGTGACCCTTGAGGTCTGACAGTAAAGCTTTCAGGGTCAAACCAACTGCTTTCATTTCCAGACAGTTGATATGTAAGCTCTGCTTTGTGCTCGACCAGAGGACGGCTTGCCCTTGGGCAGCAACCCCCCCAACTGAGGTTGACGTGTCTGTAAAAAACACCTTCCTCCTGGAAACTACCCCCATGGTCACACCATTGTGGTACCAGATCCGAACCCACCAGGGAATCAGTGTGCTAGCTGTCCAGCTACAAATGCGTTTTACATCTAGGCTTCAGTAAATCGAGGAAAAGGAGTTTCCCCCACTGCGTGTAGCTAAAAAAAAAGTTTTTTTTGTTTTGTTTTTTGGTTGTGAATGATGTGTTATAAAAAAATAGTCATTGTAACTCATTACTTGTTGGGGTACTCGGACTCGAGTCCAATTTTCAATGAACTCGTCACGCACTCGGATGAATTTGTACTCGGACTTGACACGGACTCAGACATTTTAGACTCGGAAAAATGTCCGAGTCCAGTCGAGTCAGGGCCCTGTAGGACACATTATTCAAAAACAAAACTACTTGCGTTGTGTCCGCGTTGAGCATTGTAACCAATCACCATAGACAGTGCAGACATGTATATTAAGCGCATGAACGCAGTGGCAAATCAGAGGCATTTTAGAGTCAACATGCAGAGAATTCCTTCAAAATGTATATTCAGAATCAGCAAGAGCTTTATCCTTTTGCAAATCCCCCCATAAACAAAGTCTAGACACGATATAAATGAGAGATTCACTGTGCAGTGCGGATAACTTCAGGGTTTATGACAAGAGTTTTAGGGAGAGAGCAAAATGCGATAAGTGATGGCTTAAAGGGAGCGCTATTGACAATCTATATAATAATTTAGTTTTTCGTGCTTCTAGAACACCAGTGGTTACGTTCACAATGTAAATCAAAAACAGTGATAAATGCATTTAAATGTGGGAGTGAATCCGCTAAATTTTAGTGTGAGTCATGAAATTGCGATGATTGACAGTAACCATAGCAACATGAGAACAAGATAAACATAGCAACATTTTGGCGACTAATAAATGTCTGATTCTTGTTACATTTACACTTTAGTCATAAGTTTACATAAACATTTCAGAATCTCCAAAATGTATTTTTCTGTCTTTTTTATTAAATCGTGTTGCATTCTTGAGCATTACCTGGCAAATACCGTTTTCTTTTTGCTCCTCAATATATTTTTCACTGTGTGAGAACATGTGTGGAGTGAGAGCAGAATGGCTTGTCGGACGTAGCAACAGTAACTAAGAGGGGCGGGTCTTTGTGAAAGGTCAATTTCAAATCATTTAAATCTTTGTGGACTCGGCCGGACTCGATTCGGATGTTAAGGACTTTGACTCAAGTCTGACTCGGCCCTCTTCGGACTCGACAAAGGTGGACTCGGACCCAACACTAGGTGGGAATATAACACTTCTGATATAGAATTAAACTCAGTATGAGAATAGTGAATGAACAAGCGATATGATACTTTTGTCATCATAATCAATATAACCAGAATCATTCACAAACCATGTATGAGCACATGTGTAGTCCATAACCCAACTAAAACAAACACTGATCTCTATAATGGTAACTTTGAACCAAACATTTTCAATTAAACATCTTAATAACAACTTCTGTAGATCTATGACATAAATAAAGTCATACTGGTTAATAATAAGTGTAATAAAGTGTAAAGGCTGGAAGTCAGTTGTTTCTCTATTTTTGTATTCTTGTGTTCCTCTTTTCTTCAGTGATTCTGCTAGTTAACACTGCAACACTGCGTCAATGTTACTTTTTACTCTTTGTAGTGTGGATTTTCCTTTGGGGTTGAAATGGTTAACAGTATAAGATTAAAAAACACACCCATGTATTTTTACAGTAATAAACTGTAAGATTTATATCAGGTATTTACTGGCAACACTGTTGCCAGCAGTTCACTGTAAAATGTAGTTTTTTGAGTCACCATTGTGCTGAAGAGAGCTTGTGCTTCAGTCCAGGAGAAGATCAACTAACATTCATGATATGCTGCATGTTGCTTTATTTAACAGGTGGTGACTGTGTAGTTGTGGTTGAGTTGAAATCTCTTTATTTACAATATTTTTTAGTTCTTTCAAATGAAATAAGTTCACACTAATACATTTAAATTATTATTAAATTATTAAAAAAAATTCACACTAATGTATTTAAATGAGAGTTGATCATTTTAAGGCAGTCGGTGTCTGCAAGTGAAATTAGTTAACTCAAGTTTTAATTTACTGCATTTTTTACAACAGTAAAGATTACAGTAAAGAACTGGACAATTAACAGTAAATTACTGGCAACATTGTTGCCAGTATTACTCTTTTACTCAAGTACTTGATTTGTGTACTTCATTCACCATTGAAACCATTGCTTATGTACAAGTAAAATAACATAAAAAATGTTTGGCCATGAAAAATGTGTGAAAGTTATATAAAAAAAAATGCTGCCGCTGGCTTGCAATAAAAAAAAATTAAAAAATGATGGCAGGGAAAAAATAAAAGGCATTTCAAATCCCTTTTGTACCCTTAATGAAATGGAAAATGAAAAATGTACTAAATATGAATTTAATAAAAAGCTTTCATTCAAATTGTGTGGTGTGATTTGGATGCCTGATATTTACCTTTTAAACCTAGATGGAGATGATGATGGAGAATGCAGGAAGTCGCCACTTGTTGGAAGTCCTGACATATCCCGGGGCTGGTCATCTTATTGAACCACCATATTCACCTCACTTTCGTGCAACTAACTTCAACTTTTATTTGACAAACCAGAAAGGTAGACAACGTTTGCATGCAGAATCAATTGTCTAATTTTCATATTTGATTTTTTTTATGCCACTTCTAGATTTGATTTGTGATTGTGTGTCTGTGTTTTACATCTGTTTTACATGATGTTGTTGTTGCAGTTGTCGTTCTATGGGGTGGACAAACCCAATCACATGCCTACGCACAAGAGGACTCATGGAATAAGATATTGGCATTTCTGCGGGAGCACCTCTGCTTCAATGAAACACTGCATTATAGAAAAAACATCTAAATGTGTCATTTCAGCTAAATAACATGTAACAGTTTTAAATCGTTTTTAAATTGATGACATATGTTCTATTGATGGCCAGCTTAAGGATAAATGGGTTTAATTTTTAGTTCATTTTCTTTCAATTTATGGAGAGTTTATTTTCTTTTTAAGAATGTATGCTTTTGTTTGTGTGCACTTTCTTCTATGTGGACTGACACTAACCTAGATGAACAATTAGCAGAAAGCAGATACGCACAATACATCACCCAGTGTTTATGTTACTGTGACCATTTAGCCAGATATGTAATGTAATTGGGCTTCAAAAACGAATCGATAAATATTAATAAGAACAGTGGTGTATCCAGGACATTTTGGGGGAGGGGGTGGCCAAGATGGGACACAAAGCTAGTGTGGGGTGGACATGGCATAGCGAAGTTAAATGCATATAGGTACGCAGCCGACCATGGCAGGGGCGGACTGGGACCAAAAAGTGGCCCTGGACTTTCTGGCCCACAGCAGCCCACCGTATGGTGGCCAAGAAAGCTCAACGTGCTGCAACTGAAGCAAATACTTGCAAATAGAAATAAACACCTGCAAATTAAAAAAAAACATTGTCATCAGTTTCACAACACATGTGTGCTCCAAATACAGAAATACACTGCAAAAGTTCACAACACAACCAAATACAGAAACGCTCTGCAAATAACACAGACCACAACAGAAATGTTTCCAGGTAAACCAAATAAGTGACGAAGCGCTAAAATATGTGTGCATGTGTGTCTCAACTTTAAAACTTTGGACCCAACATTACCTAATATTTCTTATGAAACTTTTCTTTATGAAAAACTTAAACATAACATGAAACAATTTTCAAAGTTTAACAGATAAATATCTTTCCTTCTTCACTATCTTTATTTCTTTGTTTTCAGCTCATTGTTCTTTTCTCATTTGTATTCTGATGACATTGAACATATTGTTAATACATTTTGAATATTGTATACAAGTTGTATGTCATAAAAATGTAATCTCTGTTCGTTTTGAAAAAAATAAATAAATACATAAAGTAGAATTTTAAGCTGTAAGGGTTAGTCACTTATTTGGTTCCCCTGGAAAGATTTCCATTGTGGTCTGTGTTTTTTGCGCGTTTCTGTATTTGGGTGGTGTTGTGAGTATTTGGTGCACACGTGTGTTGTGAAACTGATGAAGATGTTTTCTTAATTTGCAGGTGTTTATTTTATTTACATGCGTTTTCATTCAGTTGCAACGCGTTGAGCTTTCTCGGCCCCCGTACCACCACATCATAACAAATTGGCTCATTAATGTGCAGAATATTTTTAACATCACTTATAGCATAAAAATATAACACAAAACTATATGCAATTTAAACATTTATTTTAAATAACACAACGCTAGTCAGGGGGAGCTAACTTTCGCCTTCAGAACCATGTTCAAAACCTGTTGAACTGCTACTCTTCGCGCCAAATGTATAATTTGTTAATTTAAAGCATTTCACACATAGATTTCACAGCATCTACCTCTAGCTAACAGTTGCCTATAGTTCTCTCAGTGTTCAAATGGAGCTTTTTTTCCCACGACACAGGTGACGAGGCGAGGGAGTCAGCTTTCATCTGCGTAATGGGGATACTATACTGCCAAAGAGCACCGTCCTTCCAACATGACATCATGACTTTTGTGTAAACACACACGCCACTTTCGAGTCAGGTGGCGTGTTATCTCTACGCATTTTGAGCTATCCGCGTGTATCCACGTGTATGTCTACACCGTTAACGTTCGCATTTTGAGCTATCCGCGTGTATCCGTGTGTATGTCTACACCGTTAACGTTCGCATCATTTCGCGTGTCTGTACACGCAGTCAAATCTCCAGTCATAAATGCCATTAACCCCAGTGACGGTTAGGTTTAGGGATGGGGTTGAGGTAAGTCATATATTTATATAAGTCAACGGCGTTCATAAACACGCTGAAAGGCAATTATGCGTCTTGATAGCACGCCAAAAATGGAAATACGAATTGGCGTGGCATACACACGCTACTTCATGAGATCAGTCTGGTCTTTCGGATGAGACGTTAAACCGAAGTCCTGACTCTCTGTGGTCATTTAAAATCCCAGGATGTCTTTCAAAAGAGTAGGGGTGTAACCCCGGCATCCTGGCCAAATTTGCCCAGTGGCCTCTGTCCATCATGGCCTCCTAATCATCCCCATCTATTCCAATTGGCTTTATCACTGTCTCCTCTCCACCAGTAAGCTGGTGTGTGGTGAGCGTTCTGGCGCACTATGGCTGTCGTCGCATCATCCAGGTGGATGCTGCACACTGGTGGTAGATTCCCCTCTCTATGTAAAAGCGCTTTGAGTGCCGAGAAAAGCGCTATATAAATGTAATGAATTATTATTATTATTGTCATATCCTCTCTCTCTCTGCCATGATTTCCTGTCTCATAACGGTCAAATAAATGTGACTATCCTGTTAAAACAGTCCTAACCACCTATCACAATCCTCAAGTATCTCTGGTTATTTTAATATTTTTAATCAGTAATTATGGTCAGGATAGGGTAAACAATACCTATTGTCTTGTAGTGGATTCAAGTCCTTGTCTCTTCACAAGTTATATTTGAGTAGCAAAATTAAACTGCTCTTAACTCATCCTATAGAATAACATGTATCAGTCATCTGGGGAGTATTCCAGAAAGCAGGTTATGTGACATAACCGGGTATGTTTAAGAGTAAGCAAATAACCTCAACTTTCAGGTCCAAAAACAGAGGTAACTTTCAGGGTATGTTCGTAGTCATCGCAGCTCACTCTCTGAACTTAACCTGCTCTGGAGCAGGTTATGTTCCAGAGTTAGTTTGTTTCAGAGAAGTGACTGAGCAAGGCGTGCCCTTTTGAAGACGATCCAGTGGCTGTGGAAGCACAGATGTACGAAATCATTGCCATAAACCCCCGAGAGTCAGTAAAGAGGAATTCCACTGAGTGGCGGGTTTGTCCATTCTATGATATTCTAAGACAGACCGTTACTTAATCTATCCATAAAGCGCAAGCGCAGCAGTGCGCTCTATGACTTGCTTTAACTTTAGCCGCTGCACTCTGTGACGATTATCAGCACGGCCAATAGACATAAACAAACACGAAAATTAAAATGGATGAACGGCTAGTACTGTCGGAATTTCCTGAGCTGTACGATATATTTTGACATTGTCAGAAAAGCTGTGTCGTGGAGACATATCTCCATTCAAGTTGGCTTGTCAGGTGTGTTTTATATATGTATAATTTCTACCTTTGTTGTTAGATTTAATGTTTGAATAAATGTTTTATTCTAAGAAAGAACTGAGCTCAATATTCACGTGTTGATTTTGATGTTATGTGTACACGCGTCGCACACACACACAAACACACACATATACATAATATTATATGGCATAGCGCAGCGCAAATCATGTTGTATCTGAAGGGCAATGCTCAACCCAGCGGCCAGTGCAGCGCATACCGCGTCCTGTGTGAAAGCCCCTTAGCGAGGCGCTGAGCGTTTTTTTTTCACGTTGAAGCGCCGAGCGCTTGGTGTTTTTTACAGGTCGCCGAGAGTTGAAAAATGTTTAACTTTAGATAAAACATAACACTCATCACTGTCACTTTTTACCCAGCCGTCCAATCACAGTGGAGGAGGGGCGGGACTAATACCACACTGACCAACTGTCACAACACGTCGACATGTACAACGACATCAACCAGCATAGCCAACCGAACAAAATGGGTGAAAAACACATTTTTAGTATGAAACAAATTATCTGCGAAATAAGTAAACTGTGCTGTGGATATTCTGCATCATAGCAACATTACATCTTAATGGAAAAAAGGCTGCGCTGCCAAAACGCTCTCAAGTGCTCAAAGCACGGCGTCTTCAGCAGAGCGTCTAGCGTTTTTCCACGTGCCTGGCGTACATTTTCAATTGTTTTCAATTGTTTTCAATGGGAGCCCCGCGTTTTTTTAAACGCCATGAGCGTAACGAGGCGCTGAGCTTTTTTTTTTTCACGCTGAAGTACCGAGCGCCCCACGTTTTTTACTGGTCACCGAGAGTTGAAAAATTTTCTACTTTGGATAAGACCAGACTTTAATAAAACGCAGCGCTCGTCATCACTGTCACTTCTTACCCAGCCCAGCCGTCCAATCACAGTGGAGGAGGGGCAGGACTAAACCACACCGACCAACTGTCAGAACATTCTTTCTGTACAAACGACATCAACCAACAGAGCTAACCGAACAAAATGGATGAAAAAATACATTTTTATGTATTTTAAGTATGAAACAATATATTTTTCATTAAAAAAACTATTTAAAAAAATTTTTAAATACATTTATTGTATGGAACAAATTATCTGCGAAATCAGTTACAAGTAAATTGTGCTGCGGATATTCTGTATCATAGCAACGAAACGTCTCAACGGAAAAAAACGCTGCGCTGCCAAAATGCTCTCAAGCGCCCAAAGCACGGCATCTTCAGCAGAGCTTCTAGCGTTTTCAGCTGACTAAAAATGCTTTGGTGGACACACGGCCTTAGGCTGAATCCCAATTCTCTGTCTTACCCCTTCCCCCTTCCCCTTAGTTTTGCGCGTTTATGTGAGAGGAAGGGCTATCCCAATTCTCATTTTGATCTAGGGGTAGGGGTAAGGGGTATATACCCCTTAAGACCAATCATTTTCTCAAGCTTACTTGAAACCAAGGGGAAAGAAATGCACTGCGCAACTGGCAACAATGGCTGGCATACCATCTAGAGTTGAAAGTTTTTTCACTTAAATTATTGATAAGAAAAATATGACCGTCTTGTTTTGTTTTCTACACAGTTATGTACATATAAATTTGCAACTATGTTGTTTATTGAAACATTTTTAAGGTTTTTAAAAATCGCTACTTTGCTACGCTATGCTAACGTTACATCGTTACATTACTGATTTGCACAATCAGTCCCACATTTCAAGATCACCCAAAATGTCCAGGATTCAGCTTTTGCTTTTTACAGTCGCCATTCATTATCTACATTATTTGACACTGACACGTACGTG